AATCTGGGGGAGGCTGTAGGAGGTAGGTTACTGTATCTTTTAATAATATCAAGCTATTAATAATCCTCCTGAAATCTTCTGTGTCTTCATTAATATTTTATCTGTTTGAGCTATCAATTAATGAGACAAATGAGTTACTGATTCCCTCTATGACATTCAATTGTTCAATTACTCTTAATAAAATTATCAGTTTTCCTCTATATATGCACACATACACACATATATGTATATATATTTAAATAATATATTTTTGATTATGCTATTAGAGTTGTCCAAATTTTTCCCCCACTGTCCCCTTCCATCACATACTCCTATTCCCTCAGGCAACCCTCATATCCACAGGTCATACATACAAGTTCTTTGGCTAATCCATCTTCTATATTGTACCCTACATCCCCATAGTTATTCTTTAACTACTAATTTGTACTTCTTAATCCCCTCACTTCGTCACCCATTCCCCCATACCTCTCTCCCATCTGGCAATAATCAAAATGCTCTCCATATCCATGATTCTGTCTCTGTTTTTCTTGTTTTCTTAGTTTGTTTTTTAGATTCAATTGTTGATAGATATGTGTTTATTGCCATTTTATTGCTCATAGTTTTGATCTTTTTCTTAAATAAGTCCCTTTAACATTTTATATAATAATGGTTTGATGATGAACTCCTTTAGTTTTTCTTGCTTCAGAAGCTCTTTATTTGCCTTTCAATTCTAAATAATAGCTGTGCTGGTAGAGCAATTTTGGCTGTAAGTCCCTACTTTTCATGACTTTGAATATTTCTTGCCAATCTCGTCTAGTTTGCAAAATTTTTTTTGAGAAATCAGCTGACAGTCTTTTGGGAACTCCTCTGTAGGTAACTGACTGCTTTTTCTCTTGCTGCTTTTAAGATTCTCTCTTTATCTTTAACCTTTAGCATTTTAATTATGTGTGTCTTAGAGTGGGCCTCTTTGCATCCATCTTGTTTGCGACTCTTTGTGCTTCTTGGACTTGTATGTCTATTTCTTTCACCAAATTAGGGAAGTTTCTTTCATTACTTTTTCAAAGAGATTTCCAATTGTTTTTGCTCTTTATCTTTTCCTTCTGGCACACCTACGACACGAGTGTCGGTACACTTGGAGTTGTCCCAAAGGCTGCTTATACTATCCTCATTTTTTGGGGGGGGGGATTCTTTTTTCTTCTTGTTCTGATTGGTTGTTTTTTAGTTCCTTATGTTCCAAATCATTGATTTGATTCTTGACTTCATCCACTCTACTGTTGTTTCCCTGTAAAAAGGTTCTTTATTGCAATTAGTGTATCCTTTGTTCCTGACTGGATCTTTTTTATGCTTTTCAGGTCCTCACTAAGTTCCTTGAACATCCTTAAAACCAATGTTTTGTACTCTGCATCTGATAGGTTGCTTACCTCCATTTTGTTTAGTTCTTTTTCTGGAATTTCGGTCTTTTCTTTCGTTTGGGCCATGTTTCTTTGTATCCTTGTTTTGGCATCCTCTCTGTGTTTGTTTCTAAGTATTAGGCAGAATTTCTATGAATTCCTGTCTTGGTGGCCTAATGTAGTAGGAATCCTGTAGGGTCTAGCAACACAGCCTTCCCTATCACTCAAGGGTACTTGAAGTGTGTCCTCTCTGTGGATTGAGCATACCTTCTTCTTGGGCAGTTGAGCCTTGATTGCTATTTGGAGGTAAATGGGTGGGATTTACCTAGGCCAGCCAGCTGCAAGGGCTGACTATGTCCACTGATCAACTTCTGCACTATGTGGAGGAGGATCAGTTGTGCAGGGACATGGTAGTGGTCCCAGCTACAGAACTCTGATGTGTTCTGTAGCTGTACACTTGGTGCACAGGCTCTAGGTTTCCCAGGTGCTACTGGCAGTTCAACCCCTACTTATGCTCTGCTGGGGGCCATCCTGCATGAGCTATAAAGCAACCTGAGATGGCTGCTACTTGTGTGCTGGGCTGGGAGATTCCCAGACAAAGCTGGCTGCTGCTAATGCCAGGCCTGGGGCCACTTAGTGAAAGGTATGGGGGTTGGGGGCTCACTGAGCTGGCTGTTGCTTGTTTGAGAGAATTTATAAAATTGTGAAGCATGAAGTAAGGCCAACCTTTCATATGGAAAAGCCACTGTTAACAGCTCAGGGGGCCTATAGTTGGATGGGACAGAATCTCAGGGGATCTCCAGGGCAGGGCAAACAGTGTTAACCAGGTTGATGGAGTCTCAGATATGGCCTCTACCTTCTGGCTCTGTGGTTGTGTGTAGGAGAGCTCAGAAAAGGGACAATGGCCTCTGCCTGCTTTTCTATCTGGGAGAAAGCTGTCCATCAGCTTTTGCCTTGATGCCAGACACTTCAGTTCCTCCCCGTATGCCACTGGTGCCTTTCAAGCTATACTGGAGCACAGAGTGGGTGGGTCTGGGTAAGTTCATGTGTGGGTTCCTTAAGAGGAACTGCTTGGGACTTTCAAAGTTTTTTCCACCAACTCAATCCTCACTGGGTTTTTCAGCCAGAAGTTATGAGAACTTATTGTCCTGGCAGTGGAATTCTGGGCTGAGGGGCCTGGTGTGGGATGGGACTCCTTGCTCCTGAGATATCTCCCCAGAATTTTTATTTTCCACACATTGATGTGGGACCAGCCCATTCTGTATCTCTGCCCCTCCTTCCAGTCTGGATGGATGTGATTTCTTTAACTCTGTAGTTGTTGGAGTTCCATTCAACATGGTTTCTGATGGTTCTGAGAGATGGTTGTTCTATAATTTAGTTGTAATTTTGATGTGGTTGTGCAAGGAGGCAAGCTGTGTTTATTTATTCCTCCATCTTGACCAGGAGTGTCATTATCCTTTTTGCATTTTGAAGTAATGTCATTAGGGCATATGTGTTTTTGATACATTTTGATTTTTTAAAAATTTCATCATTATATAGGAGTGTCCTTTACCCTTAATGATATTTTCCCCCTTACATTTTGTTTGGCCTGATATCAAAATACAGTTCTAATATATTTTATATGGTTAGTATTTGACCTTATTACATCATTTTACTATCAAGCTTTCGGGCTACTGTATTAGGTCTTTAAATGACATATGAGCATAGCAGGATTTTTTAAAAAATATTCAATCAGAAAATCTTCACTTTTCCTTGAACTGTTTAGTCTATTTATATTGATTGAGATTATTAATATAACATATTTCATTGAGTATAAAATACCATGAACTGTAAATACATCATCACTTCATGTACTGCTGAAAAAAAAGAATATGCTTCCAAGTGTAACTATTTAATGCCATCAATTGTAAGATACATTCTATTATCAGAGACATCAAATGTGAAAAAAAGCATTTAGAAATATGACTAAACAAATATATAATTTTTAACTCCTTATATTGGCATAGGTCCAAAAGTTTGATAGTACATTTGTTGGGAAAGCTATGGAGAAACATGTAGTCTTATGTATCAGTGGGAGAGCACAGAATGGCACAGTCCCTATGATGAGGAATTTGGTAATTTCAAGACCAATCACAGGCTGATTTACTATTTGGCTCAGCTATGCTTCCAGTAGGAATTTAACCTAAAAAAATTAGTAAAGATTTACAAAATGACTAATATGCCATTAATTAAAATACTATTTGCTCTAGTAAAATACTGAAAGGAAACCAAGTGTTTATCAATAGTGTCCTTGTTAACTCACTGTGATACATCTAACCAATGGAGTTATAAAAAGCTGTAAGAAAATAATATGGAAGAGACCTGTGTTTATATCAATATCTGTAACTTTATCTGTATAGTCCATATATCTCATTTAGTAGTTTGATCATGGAATCATGTAAATGTTTTACATTAAAAAGTTAAATAAAAAACTAAAGAAGAACAACCTAAAAATTAATAATGAATGAAAACAAATAACCCTAACTGATACCAAGTTTTTAGCATAACTGCATAGAGAAAAATTATTTTAAATGACTTTAAATAATAGTATTTTGACTCTACATCTTGAATGGGATATATCCTAAAGGCAAAAAGAACCACAAAAAAAATCCTTTTAGATAAATTTGTTAGTTTTATTTTTAGTAATATTATTAGTGATCTTATTTTAAAAATATAAACATGTATATATACTATGTATACAAGTATATATATATGTAAAACTTAAGTGATTATGTGACATTCATTAGGAAATAAGATTTGTACTACATACAAGAAAAATAGAATATAAATACAAAAGAATTTAAATAAAACCTTGTAATCTTTAAAATGGGTTGTGAATATCAATATGAAATAATAGATAAGTATTGTATTTCTTATAATATTCATATTTCTTAGCTTCGTCCACTGAAAGCTCTAGAAGCAATGGCAATCCAGTAGCAATGAGTACCTCTGGTCTCCTGATTGAATTCTCTAAATGCCATTTCCCAATGAAAGAAACCAGAGCTCCTTTGAGAAATTGCTGACTCCAGGTCTGGTGCAAGAAATATACAACATAAGCCTAGGACATTTTGTTATGCCAGAAAGCAAGGAGACATTCAGACTACTGGTGTATTATTGAAAGCACATGGCAAACTAGCCAAAGATGAGAATTAAGAGTTAAAAATAACAATGTCTTCCATAAATGATATGCATCAAATATATAAATCCATACGTCCAATATGAAATTGAAAGTAAAAACTATATTTATCATTTTTGGAACATATTAGGGCATCAACTTATTAGGGAAATGGATGAATAATAGCATATTAAGCTTTTATATTGTCCTTCCTGTGTTACAAATATTTCAGAGAAAGCAAATTGTTAAGGAAGAGTTCTTCATGGAAGAACTCCAGCTAACCCACATGGAGAAAATGATATAATTCTCCTCCTCCAAAATTGTTTTAATAGAATAATGGATCTAGGCAATGATCATCAGTGGCTACTGACACAATCATGTGTACAGTCAATCAGAAACTATACAAAGGATGAACCAGACTATCATCATCTGAACCAAATGATCAATTTTTACTTCTTTAAAAGTGGGACAGTCAAATACTTACCTGGCAGGACAGCTACCATGATCATGAAGGTGGTTTCCCAGGGCAAAGTGTTACCTGTTGTACTCTGGATGTGCCGACCCCTGCCATTTCCCCGAATGTGGGAAACTTGACTGCTTACTTTGTGGTGGTGGAGGACTGCGTTCATGTTCTCCCTGGCTTAAAAAAAAAGATGGGGCAAATAGACAAGATGTCATGTATCTTTAAAAAAAAAACATTTTTTTTAGAAAAGATTTTATGCCCTGACTGGTATGTCCCGCAAAGTGTACGTTCTCTGGTCAGATTCCTCACCAGGGCACACGCCTGGGTTGCGGTTAGGTTGGGGTGCATGCGAGAGGCAACCCATGATGTTTTCCCTCTCACAATGATCAGAGGGGGAGGCAGGGGAGAGAGAGGGAGAAAAACATTGATTGACTGCCTTCCGTATGCGCCCTGACTGGGGACCAAACCTGCAACCCATGGCATGTGCCCTGACCAGGAATCAGCTGGCAACTTTTCTTTTTGTAGGAAGACGCCCCACAAACTAAGTCACACCCATCAGGGCAGACATTATATATTTTCTGATGAGATGAGGTAGAAAGTACACAGTGTCACCTATGAAGTAATTTTGGAGATAAAAAGAAAAAAGAAAAGAATAAAAAACATTTACTCTAAATCTGTCTAAACCTTTAGGTCTAACTAGAGTTTATAGGAAATACATGTTAACTAATACCACATGAATGCAATCAGCTAAATCTGGAAAATAAGAAATTCTGTAGGTTTCTCCAACAAATGGCAATAAAAATAACAACACATAAAGAATGTGTTGCTCCTTCTTTTATTCTACTTTATTTTGTCCCTTCCCTGTCTTCTTTTTTCTAATAGAAGTTTCTTTATTCCATTTCTCTCTGTTCATTGGTTTTAAAGAATCCTGTTTTTCAGTCTTTCACTAGTTCATATTTTAACATGCAACTTAATAAAATCTAATATTAATTAATAGCTCTTCATACCTTCTGCTAACAATGCAAGATTCTGGGACTGCTTTAACTCCAATCACTTTGCTCTTCAATTTTGTTTGTTATTATTGTCCAGCTTGTGAGTTCCATCTTATTTTTAACTTCTATTATTTGTTGTTAGTGTATTAGACGATCAATGTTTGCTTTAGATTTACTTACATATCTATGAATTTCTATACTCATCATTTCTTTATTACTTTTATTTTGCTTTCAATTTCCTAAGTATATCTGCCATTAATATTTTCTTTATTGATTTATTAGTGGTAAACATTTTGTCTTTGTATTATGAACTGAATGTATCTTCCTAAAATTTATATCTTGAGGCTCAAATCCCCCAGTGGGATGGTATTTGAAGGTGGGACTTTTGGGAGGTAATTAGGTTTAAATGAAATCATGAGGGTAGGGCACCATAATGTGATTAGTATCTTTACAAAAAAAAAAAAAAAGGAAGAGATAGAATATGGAAGGATTGAGCAAAAAAGAGAAAGGACTCATGGACTTGGACAGCAGTGTGGTGATTGTGGGGTGGGGAGTGAGGAGGGTGGGTGAAGGGAGAAGAGGGGATAAAGGGGATAAATGGTAATGGAAAAATAAAATAAAAATAAATTTTAAGAAAAGGAAGAGAGAACAGAGCACATTTCCCCCTCTCCTCCTTCCCCACCCCTTCAAGTGTGGACACAGTAAAAAGGCAACCCTCTGCAAGCTGTGAGCCTAATAAGTTGGCACCTTGATCCTGGACTTTACTGTCTCTAGAGCTGTGAGAAATAAATGTCTTTTTAAAAGCCAACCAGTCTATGGTATTTTGTTATAACAGCCTGACCTAAGACATCTCCTTTTTCCAAAAGTCTCTTTAATTTCACCCTAATTCTTGGATGAGAATTGGATATATTATTGTTTTTTTCCTTAGCCTTTTGAAAATAAGTATTCAACAGTCTGTCTTCCGTTATTGTTGAAGAGAAATCTACTGTTGGTTTAATTGTTAATCTTTTGTTGGCAATCTATATTTATTTGTTATTTGCTTAAATTTTTTTTCTAATTGTTGATCTTCAGTTTAACTCTCATTTGTCTAGAAATGGATTTAATTTCACCTATCTTGCTCAGGAATTGTTGCATTTTAAAAAATTGTTTTCTTTCATTAATTTGGATAATTATCAACCATTATTTATTTGAAAATTTTCTCCCCCTCCATGTTTTCTGTTCTCTCCTTTTGAAATTTTTATATTTTCTATTTCCTTGTCACTCTATGCTGCATTGTGGATTATTTCCTCAGAACTTGACAGAGCAATTGAAAAAAAGTGAAAATATGCTGTTTATTACATCCATTAAATGTCTGAAATTTCAATAAGTTTCAGTATTTTTTATTTCTAGAAGTTTTAATTTTTAACCTTGAAAATATTTCTTCAGAGTATTTTATTTTATTCTTGTTTTTAATGCTCTATTTTGTATTTATAGTCTCACAGATATAGATATATGTCTATATATCTATTTAGTATATCTATATATACACACGTGTATTTTTTAATGGTTTCTATTTGATTATTTATTATCTGGAGTTCATGGGGGCTGTTTAGTCCTAACAGTTGCTGTGAATACCATCTCAGCGTCCATGGTAGACTTTGTTCATGTGTTCTGTAATTCTGGATGGAGAGCTCATCTTCAGCAGGCCTTTATGTGTGGGAATGTGAGACCTAGATTGAGTGATTCATTAGAATAATTTTCTATTTACTTATACTAGGATCCCAAGGATGGGTCTCATCAGCTTAGGACTACGTTTTATATTTTACTTGTTTTATTCTTTTTTTGAAAAGATCTTATATATTTATTTTTAGAGAGAGGGGAAGAGAAGGAGAAAGAGAGGGAGAGAAACATCAGTGTGCAGTTGCCTCTTGAGTGCTCCCTACTGGGGACCTGGCCTGCAACCCAGGCGTGTGCCCTGACTGGGAATCAAACCAGTGACCCTTTGGTTCGCAGGCCATCACTCAATCTACTGAGCCATGCCAGACAGGGCTGTTCTTTTATTAATATTTTTGAATAGTTAACATAAATTACAACATTAAAAAGGAAGAAAAGTGAATATAATAACACCTTTTTCCCATCTCTACTCCATTCACCCAGTTCACTTTTCCAGATATAACTGCTATTAATGGTTTCTTACATTCATTCACAGAGATATTAACAAATATGGAGTGTCTAATATGGGCTAGACATTGTGTTAGAAGCATTAGATATACCAAGGACAAAACATACATAGCCCCATACCTCCAGCAAGCTTATTGTCTGTGAGAGCTTGTGTGTGTGTGAGTAGGGGTGGTAGAGGAAGACAGAGAAGAAATAAACACAGCAAATAAGTAAATTGTATAATATGTTTGAAGATGAGAGTGCTATAGGAAATGGGACAAGTAAAAATCAGTGTCAGAAGGATCAAGAGTCCTGGTATCAGGGGTCAGGCTGTATATAGTATTAAATGATATGCTCATGATAAGCCTCCTTGCTGAGATTTTATAAACAATTTAAGACAAGGGAGTTAGCAAAGGAATAACTGAAAGATGCAGGTTCCAAATCAAGGGAACAGCTGGACCAAAGGGTATAAGGTTAAAAACATGCCTGGAATGTTCTAGGAATAGCAGGGAGCCAAGTGTGATGGAGTGAAGTGCAGAAACGGGAAGTAGTAGGAGAGCAAAAAAGTACAGGGGCACAAATGAGATAGGCTCTGATAGGTCATTGTAAGGTCATTGGCTTTTATTCTGTGTGTGAGTGTGTGTGTGTGTGTGTGTGTTTGCTTGCTGTTCAAATGAAAATATTTATGTTTTAATAAATGTTTTCTCCAGCCAGTTTATCTCCTTGCACTTAACAAACAGAAAAAAGTTACATTTAATCTTGTGTCAAGTATAAAAGAATACCCAGTACCTTCCATTTTAGGTTATTACCATTAATTTTCATTTTAGGTTATTACCAATTTCGGTTATTACCATTAATTTATATTCTTTTGGTATAAAAATATTTTCTGAAAAATCCCCAATAAACCTACCAGCGCACTTAGAAACAAGCACGACCAAGGTTGCACAGTAGCTGAGCAGGAGGGGTTCTGCGTGGTTCACTCGTGAATGGCAGCACTGCCTGAGGAAGTTCCTGGAACATTGTCAGCCTTTGTTTTCTGCACAAGAAAACCTCTTATTTCATGGTACACATTTCACAGTAGTAAGAAACAACCACCTGGTCTGCTTGATTAAAACCAGGGAAAAGGACAATTTTCATGGGGAGCAACCGCTGGCGAAAAGTGCCTCACGGACGGCACTCTGACCCAGAAGGCACTGGGACAAGTTGCCAAATCTTAACCTCTGTAAATGTGTCAAGAATTGACAGGAACTTTTATTTATTTATTTATTTATTTAGGGATTCCAGCTTTTATTTTTCCCCTTTCACAAAACAAAGTAGAAGAAATAATACAGGATTAAAACCACAAAAGTAGCTAAATTGGTAGCCACAAAAGTAGCTAAAATGTATTTAAAAAAAGCCAGATAAGACAGGCTTATTTACAATGAGGAAACTCATGTAAATTAAGGTAGCTTATAGTTTTCATATGAAACATTAAAAAAAAATCAAACATATGTTATATGGGTGCCTCTCTTTATAGCAGTATTGAAGGGGAGAAAACAACTCTTATTTAGGGGTAGATATACCACAAGGTCCAGGTTTTACAGCATCAGTGCAATATATTAACAGAGTTTCATTTCAGCTAATTAATTAGAGTTTAAGAACTGTTCCCAAATATGTCACATTTTCGGCCCTTAGAGGTTCATTCCACAGTTTTCAACTACTCTAAACTTCTAACTACTGAGAGGGCAAGTGACTCTAAGACGCTTTCCAAGAGTTACAAAATCTCTGTAGACCTAAGGCCATCTATCACCTCCCCAAGTTTGCTCTTGCCACAGCCCTTGTATTCTTCAGAAAAATATCTAGGACAAAAGTCAGATGACAGTGTAGTTCCCACCTCCTAGGCCAAATCTATGGGGAAGAAAGCAGCCAACATTATCATAAAATGAGAACTGAAAAATTAGCAGGGTAAGATTATCTTCTACTGAATTTTGATGAAATGCAGGAAAACTTTTGCCCTTGATTAGCTGGTCTTGGAGTAAAAGTCATAGGCTCGAGTCTCCATCTGTC